CAGAGGACCGTAATCAATTCTACCTTCTGCTCGGGTGTAAGACTGGCGTTGATGATGAATGGAAGCAGCGGTTTCAGTTCCAACTTCCTCTGGTGAGGTAGGGATTTTCGGCATTGAGGGTAATGCCTCCAATTCTTGGTCTTGCAGGGGTTGGCTATCATCCTTCGGGGAATCTAGGGCATCTGTTCCTACCAAACAACACTCCTCAAAAGGGTCAGTAGTAAGGGCACCCGTAGACGCGAGTGCCTTCATGAAGTCAAAAACCTCTTCACAGTAATCAAAATCATCATAGCAACGAGACAACTTCATGCTATCATCAATGGAGAATGTGACCTCCTTCTTTCCTGCCCTAAGCACCTGCCTACCTCCATGCACATCAATCAAGGCCTTAGCGGCGGCTAAGAAAGGCCTTCCCAAGATGAGGGGGACCTCAACTTTCTCATCAATGTCTAAGATAACAAAGTCCACATGAAACATGAGAGATCCTACTTTAATGAGCAAGTCCTCCAAAACACCTTTAGATCGTACTACAGACCTATCTGCCAACTGAATGTGCATCCTAGTGGCTCTAAGTTCTCCTAGTTCTAACTTTTCAAACAACTTATAGGGCATCACATTAATGCTAGCTCCTAGGTCCGCCAAGGACTTTCCGATGCATACGTCACCAATAAAGCAAGGGATAGTGAAACTCCCTGGATCTTTGCGTTTTGGGGGCAAGTGGTTCTGCATAAGGGCGGAGCATTCCTCATTCAAGCTCACAGTAGCCACCCCCTGAAGCTTCTTCTTGTTGGTGAGGATGTCTTTCAGGTATTTTCCGTACTTGGGCATTTGGGTGACGACCTCCAGGAAGGGGATGTTCAAATGCAACAGGTTCATCAACTCCATAAAGTGGGAGAACTCTGCCGCCATGCGGTCGTTGCGAAGCCGTGAAGGATAAGGGAGAGTAGGGGTTGTTTTACTCTTTTCTTGCTCCGGTTGAGGGGTTGGAGTGACATCCTCTTTTTGATAGGTCGGTTTAGGGGTTGTAGAGTCGAGGTCCCTGTCACTTGTGGCTTCTGGCTGTGAGGGGAGGTTGCCTCCCCCTTGTTTCTCTTCTGTTGCGAGCTGTTTCTTCTTAGGGGTGGCTCTTTGGCCTCTCTTCCACTTCGAAGAGTCACGGCCACCACATCAACTTCGTCGACTGATTTCCAAGACTGAGCCGCCTGCGAGATACCCCTTATGCTTGTAGCCAGGTTGATCAAGTGGGTTTCCTGACTCTCCAACCCTGCCTCTATGGCCGAGAACTTCTCTGTTGCCTCTCCAATGAATCTGTCGATTCTTTCAAACTTTTTGGAGCTGGAGGCGACAAAGTTCATCACCACCTCCTCAAGGCGGGTCATCCGCTGGTACTTAATACAAACCTGGGCGGGTTGTATGTGATCAAAGTCATGCAGCTAATGACTCAATCGAAGGATCGACTGAGCTCGAATCAAGAACGAAGCGTTCTTAATACGAACCTGGATAAAAAGGAACCAAAAGGACGATTCCACACCTGGGGAACGTTCGATTGGATTAAAAGTTAGATGCCCAACCACAATTGAAGAGGCTATTCAATCGATACAAGAGCTCACGAGCTTGGAATCCACCAAACTCAAACAAGTTCACAAACTTGCGCAAAACCGAAAGTCTTAGTTTACAACGTAAAAGAAAGCTTTTAAATAAACCTAAGCTAGGGTTACACATGTACATAATAGTCCTAGATACCTTCTAATACGAACAAGCACTAAAAAATAGCAAACAATCGAATCCTAATTCAACTAGGAAAATAAAACTTTGTTTTACAACGCAGAATTTCTGTGACTTTGTACTAACTTTGAGCCGTTCGTTTGAAGCCTTCCATAGATCCATTCCTTCATCTTTGTAGAAAAATATACTTACTTTCATGTGGTAGAAGCCTCTGGACTCGATTCAAATTCATGCTTCTCGAATTGAACTCCAAAGTAGGCTTCATGAACATGTTTTCTGCATTAGCCAAATTCTCACAGTTTCAGCTTTCCAGATACACTTTTGAACAGTACTTTACATCCTCATGGTTACAACTTTCACCCCACTCCATAGGTGTTGCCACCCCGCTTACATGCCTTTTATCCTCGAGCATCACCCTGATCAACTGATGTAACTTCGCTTCAAGTGGGGTTATACAGCTTCCAATCAAAGTTGGGGCTTCCTAGGAGTCGGAGAGCCGGGTTTATGCCTTCTTCAATTGGTAGCAAGGGTGCTGGGTTGCTCCGAGTCATGCACCACCTACACACAATCGGAAAATATCCAGTCTAGCACAAGCAAAGAGCACACACACTTGCAAAACAGGAAATTAAAAGCTAGATTAACAACCAACAACTTTTTCAGAATAATAGACCGTGGTCCCTGATAACGGCGCCAAAAAATTAACTCGCACGAAACTACACCACAATAAAACCCCAATTAGAGTCCAAGTTTTTACACTCTAATCGGGTGCAGTATAGGGCAAGTATTTAGATATCGACCCGGGCCGGTCCGTCCATCCCTACTTCCGTTGTTGAAATCATTATCTAGCAACTAAAATTTGGTTTAAAAGGTTTGCTAATTGAAATAAAAGAAAGCAAAGGTGATTGGGTTTGAAAACTCTTTTGTGAGAAAGTCACTCAGGTGTTGCTTCCCCCTAACCGCTACCATGCTATGTGGATTGGAATGATTGCCTTGGGAACTTTAATCGTGAACTACAGAGGAAAGCATACGTGGTCGGAGACCACAGCCTCAATTGCTAAACCGAGGTGAGGATGAAAGGACGTGTCACTCGACCCTCTCGGTTTAGACAATCGGTAATCGACATACTCCCTCACTCAACTCTAAGGTCGGATGGTTTAATCACGATTAATTGACTTGTTTAACTCAATATTGACGGTTTCCCTAACTCAACCTAGTTTAGTTGGTTTAGAAAGCGGAAGGAAAACCAACTCGATTGAGTCTCCCTTGAAAGGGGGATCCTCCCAAACTAGGCTAAGGTGGCAAATTAGATTACTAGCACCTAAATGCACAAACTTAGGGGGTGCTAAGCACAATTATGCACAATCCCTAGGTTTCTAAGCACCTAAATGCACAAACCTAAGGATGCTAAGCACAAAACATGCACAATCCCTAAGTTGCTAAGTACAAGCATGCACAATCATGGTGAATAATGCCTCAATCATTGAATTGAACAATACCCATTGACAATCATCCAAAACACATACAAGAAAACTACATGGTAGAGTTAGGGTTTCACTACACCCAATTGAAAGGAGGTCTACTCCATGCTAGAAGTGGGAAGAATAAAAGGGAAAAATTTGGAAACCATCTTTGAGGATGCTCCCTCTCTTCTTGAACCTTGAGTTGAGCTTTCCTTGGGGAAATCTTCCCAAAATCTGCCTTGAAGCCAATCCCTAACCTTCTTCTTCCCTTTGGTTCTGTTTCTCTCACTAGAATGCTGAAGAAGGTGTTTCTTACAAAAGTGGGCTCTCCCCTCTCTCCTCCTTTTTGCCAATCTTTAGACTCCGAGGCTGGTTTCACCTGTGAAATCCTGAGACACACTCAAACACGAAGATCCTATCGTAAAACCAATCTTTAAGGAGCAAATTTGGCACAAACATCTAGGTAAAATGGGGACAAAACATATGCAATTAGGCCCGAATCAGGTAACAGGGTGGAATCCTGAAGAAGGCCCTAGCTGAAAGGTCAAAGAAGTGCCTAACTGAAAGGCCTGAGAAGTGTCTGGCTGAAAGGCCTCGAAGGTTGAAAGGCGAAAGGCCTTGGAAGAAGTGCTTGGATGAAAGGCCTAGAAAGACCCTGGCTGAAAAGCCTGAGAATATCCTGGCTGAAACTGCGTGAACTGTGGCTCTTGCACGAGCCAAGCCTATCTTGGACTGTACGCTATGACAATCTGGCAAGACTGTGCCCATCAGGATGCTGCTGTACAGGTAATGTCACATCCCAATGGAGGCGATCATCCAAACCTAAAGCAGAAACTCTTAAGTACACCATATAAGGCACCCCCATCCTCTTGTTGGTGGGCAGCTCTCTATTCCGTAACCTCCATGCAGCGTATTCTAAGGGCTCATACTCAAAGTTAAATGAAAAATATCAAAGATTTCACACAACTAAGAATTTCCAAACAACTAAAACCAAATATGAAACAAGAAAAACTAACCTTGCGTTCAATCCAGCAACTCTCCTTGTGATAAAACGTCTGGTACCATCTCAATACCACTCCAGATGCTCCCTCTGGTAGGCTAAAGCCTCCTGACTGAATACCATAGTCTCTATATACTCATGTCGAGTGCTCCAAAATGAAAGCAATTCTCTATAGGTGTGTAGCAATTGCTACCCACAAGATGGCACACGAGCTGACTGGCGAAGGAACCACCTAGTATTATCTTCGCCCGCTGGATGATGGGGCTCATCCTGCAGCATGCCAAACTGTTGAAGCATGCGGTCTGGATGGTGCCACATCATCACTGTAAAGTAGATCAATGGAACTACTGCTCGAAACATCCATGAATGGACGACACTATCTATGAACTACTCGTCTCTCGCCCAGTAAGGACACCACTACATGGCACAGACAAAAAGTGGTCACATATATATATTTTTGTCTTCGACGCACTCACTTTTTTGGGCGCATTCAATGCACTCACCTCATAGTCACGATTTTCATTTTTATGAGTGCCAAAGAATCCACCATATATATATATATTTATATATTTTCTGAAATTAAGAGGTACAATTTTTTTTAATGATTTGGCAAAAACTAACAAACAATTTTAATGGAATGAAAATTTTGAGCACAACTATCAAGATAAAAACAGACACACAATAACAATTTAATTAAAAGTTGAGAGTTGTAGTAATACTAGTTTTTTTCAATGGAAGTTTCAAGTAGGAGTAAATAACATGTTGAATGCTTCCAATATGGACTTGCTTCAATTTGTTTATCATTTTAGCTGGTACTAGAAGCTACGCTCATAGAATGCGTGCGCAAGATGCTTTGGCCGATTTCTAACTCGATCGCCGCGCCGCAACTGAGTTGGCTCAACTGGAATGCAAGGCTGTGGTATGCTGGGAGACTCAACTAAGGTCGACTTATCACTAGAAGCCGCAAAAGAGGGCTGCGTAGGAACGGTGGGCGAGGACGGTTCTGTCGGGAGCGAGGACGAGTCATGGCCAGCATGCTGAGGTGATGCAATGATGATTTGCGGCTCGATAGGAGACGATGAAGGTGTTGTTGAAGGAGTAGATGGCGCTGCGAAAGAAGCAAGTGGCACTGTGGAAGCATGCAGGGGTGATCCTGCGGCAGAATTAAAGGATGGGGTGTCCTGGTCAAGTTGGAAGGAAAGTCTAGGAACCAAATGAAGTGCTTTCTGCATGCCGTCTTGAAATGGAAATTGGTTTTCATCAAATTGAACGTCACGTGACGTGATCATTCGCCGAGTAACCAGATCATAGATGCGGTACCCTTTCTGGGAAGTAGCATAACCAAGAAAAACACCAGCCCTCCCCTGTGCAACGAACTTATCGAGATGTCCATGGGTGTCTTTATAGTACACCAAACAACCAAAGAAGCGGAGATGCCAGTACCCAACAACCTTCCCAAATAGAGACTCAAAAGGGGATTTACCTGTTGCCGTAGTAGGTAAACGATTGATAAGATAAACCGCAGTGAGGGCGCACTCTCCCCAAAAAAATGAAGAGGCAAATTTGCTTGAAAATGTAACGCCCGAGCTGTTTCTAAAATATGTCGATGCTTCCTTTCGACAACCCCATTTTGCTGTGGTGTGTCAGTACAAGAAGTCTGCAATAAGATCCCTGTCTCTGCATAATAATCCCGCAAAGGTTCTGTGTTATATTCAGGACCATTGTCAGCCTGAATGCGCCAAACCTGGGTCCCAATCTGAGACTGAACCATGCGGCAGAACTGTAACAGATGCTGACCAGCCTGTGATTTATAACGAAGTAAGTAAACCCAAACACCACGTGTATAATCATCGACAATGGTTAAAAAATAGTGGGCACACTAAGAAAAGCAATGTGATATTCACCCCAGACATCAACATGAATCAACTCAAAACTCCTGGTCGTTTTAATACTACTAGATGGAAAGGGAGTGCGACATTGTTTAGCTCATGAACATGAATGACAGGGGAATTCCAACTATGATAAAAAAAGAAGAAGATAACAAACGAACAACATAAAGGAGTTTATCAGGGGAGGGATGCCCCAAACGGGCATGCCACATATCTTCAGAACCAGAACTCTTCTGGCGTACCGCACACGCCTGCGTTGTGCCACTACCAAACAATCGCAGGTAATAAAGACCATCCTTCAGATCACCCTTCCCAATCAACTTCTTGGAACATAAGTCATGAAGTACGCAATAACCATCAAGAAAGATTAACGCCATATGATTATCTCGTGTTAACTTACTGACTGATACCAAATTACAACGAAACTAGGGAACATGAAACACATGGCGAAGAGTGAAGCCAGATTGCAACTCGACTGAACCAATGAGTTTAATGGGAATGTTGTCACCGTTTGGAATACGAACAGGTTGTGCATTGGGTGAAACAACCTTATCCGAGAGAAGATGTTCGTGCATGGTTATATGTTCGTTACACCCTGAATCAATAAGCCATGCAGAACTACCTTGACCCAAACGCTCGAGCCAATCAGCCCATATTTCGCGAGCTGTCTCGTCAAAATGAACACTGCTTTGTATTTCCTTGTCCATAGATGTTTTGAGCAAGCCCTTGATCATGGCATCACATCGAATCCAAGCATCACGTTCAGCCGGGTTTGTAGGTTTGGATAGAGTACCATCCACGAAACCGAATTTGTTTTTCGCAAGAAGGCCATCCTTCATATCGAGAGCCCACTCACCATAATTACAGGCGGTCAGTATATCCCCGACCAGCATGTTCCCAGGGCCATCCGATCGATGGAGTTGGAGTACGTTAGGCAAGTCGTCGTCATTCTTGCCCTGCAGCTTTGACATGACGGAACCATCATCGTCGTCACTCATGATTGCAGAGGAATCAAGGTCTGGAGCTTAATGCTCTGATACCATGTTAAAATGTGCAAGAAGAATAAATCGTGACTCAATTTACGTGGTTCTTCCTCATGTTATGTGAGGCTTACATCCACGAGGGAATTTGCTTCTACGTTTTATTGATGATCGACTTGATAGTACAAGCCATATTCTCATACCCTTTTACATCTGAATCATCTAGGGTTACAAAGTGAAGACGTGAGCTGGAGTGGGACGAGTCGGCCATGGGCCTTATCTCTGCATGGGCTGCATGCGCATGACGTGGGTCTGGGTCCAGCTTAGCAACAACAGTACGTCGATCCAATAAAGGAATATATTAATTCCATATTTGATTACATTCAACTACCTAATTCAAGATGTTTGGAAAGTCAGGAGGACGTTGGATGCTGACATGTTTGGAAAATTGGGTTGTTACAAGGGTTTAGAGCCCGATGTAATAACCTACCACATTTTGGTTTCTGGATATGTAGCAGACGGCAAGAGTAAGGAAGGGGGAGCCTTGGTCGATGAGATGTTGGATAAATATTTCATATTTGATCTTGCTACTTATAATACGTTATTGAATGAACTGTCAAATTATGGAAGACACATGAATATTTCTTGCAAGCAAAATTCAGTGACATGATGTTGTAGACATTTGAGCAGTGGATGAGCCACGGTGATGGTAGTGGAGGCTACTTCAACTCTCATTTTATGTAAAATTACATATAAATTTTATAATAAATTTGAGAAATATAGTATTTGTTTAGCTTTTAACCCCTTCTTGCCAGTTCAATCTGAGGATATATTTTTAACCCCTCTCATTAAGATTTCTCAGTCCGCCACTACATATAGTCGGTCAGTTTTATGCAACTAGTTTTTCTTGGTCATGTGTCTTGGTTCAGGCCTAATGTAATAGCCTTTGTATTTAGGCAAAATACATCTGTGTAGCTAAAACTTTCGCGTTTATGACAATAACAACCACTTTTTGAGAAATACACAAAATAGCCAGAATTTTGAAAGTTTCATCACAAATATAGTCATTTACATTAAATACTTTAACGACATTAGTGACAACGTTAGTTATTTTAATGGTTTTCTTACTGGGTTGTCAACTCACTAAATACATCATCGAAAACTCAGCCTCCAATGACAAGTGGATGACACATCATTTTTAATTAAGAATAAAATTTTAAACAAATAAAAAAACAAAATTAAATCTATGTCTTCCTCACGAACTCTCCACTAGGAATGGCAACGGCTCGGGTCAGGGGCGGATAATGCATATCCGTTATCCTAACCAAAGTAGTTCGGGTTTTGCCCATAGCCATACCCACATAAGAATAAGATAGAAAATCAAAATCATACTCATACCCATTCAGGTTTTAGGTATTCACGGTTATCCATGGATAATAATTTCTCTTTATAACTCCAACCAACCTGTTAACATTCACGTATGCTCACATCACATAAGTGAAAAAGTATGACAATAAATCACTAGACTGAAGAAAAGTAATTAAAAACAACACGTTTCATGAAAACATTATATTTATATGATAAATGTCAAATATGTTGAGAATAATAATAATAATTTCTAGACAAAGTGCATATGCATGTGTATAATCGGTCGGCTTTGGGTTGGATAGTGCGAAATCCATGGCCACCCATTACCTGCAATGTTCGGGTTCATATTTTATCTGTACACACTAAAAATCCTACGGGTTCGAGTTTTACCCTACTCGATGAGGTCTGATTCGGGCGGATATCCATGGTTCCGAATATATATGCCATCCCTACTCTCCACTAAACAAACGAAGATCCTCAATTCTGCCAGCTGATCTTTCCACCTCGCTGACATCGAGTTCGACTCGTCTATGGTGGAATCCATGGCGACGAATATGGTGGGCGTCCAGATTGTAATACAAAAGGTAGATAAAAATAATATCTCTCGTAAATTAAAAAAGGAACTAGGCTCCGTATTCTGTGGAGCTGCGATCCCACAACAGCGAACAAACCCTAGCACCACTGCTATCAATGGAATCCCCTGCCCCGCGGGTGCCGTCCCCGATCGGGGGGCTTAGTGATTAGAATGTCGGGACTCGCAGGCCTGCCTCTGCGTCGTCCTCACATAATGGAAAAGGAGCTAGCAAGACACAACAACCTAAGAAGAATGCTAAGCCAATGATGAAAATCCCGCTTTCGAAGCGGCACCAACGAACGAAGACCTTGCCTCATCCCAACCCCAGGTGAATGTGGAATCCGACCATCAAAAGGAATTAGTGTGGTCGAAAGGTACCAGGAATCTTTTCAATTATCTACACAGTCAAGACGAGTGGTCTGTATCAGAATCCGACTCAGAGGATATCGTTGCTGCCATGTTCGAAGATGATCTCGATGACGAGGTCCTGGAGTGGCCGGCTGCTGCCTCTGTTGGCTTGATCCTGGCCGGTGACGATGAGTCTCGCGTCCCCGTCACCTAAAACCCATGTTGCCGATGAACGGGACAACTGTCCCCGAGAGAGAGAGAGGGATTGACGATGACAAAGCTACCAATTAAAACCCCTTGCTGCTGCTGAACGTGGAGAATGGAAAGAAGAATGGGGTCTTGGGGGGATAGCGGCTGGGGGAAATTTTCTCCCCCTGATAGTTTTAGGTGGAGGTGGAGGAGGAGATTCGTCTAACTATAGATATAGTAACCACGAGCGAAACACAGGTTGAGATGGAGACAGAGGCTCATAACCATAGAGGTGTTGAGTACCTCTCTCCTATGGAAACTTCGTATCCCTGGAAGTGGAAGTAGCCGGTGACAAGGATGTGAATCCCACCAGCACCACAACTGAAACACAAACTGTTAAACAAGCAATTTCGGTGACCTCAAAGACGATAACGGTGCAGAAGGGACTAAAGCGTACAAAAAATCTCATAGCTACCAAGCAAAGTGATGTCACTGTGAGTAACGCCCCCCTCTCCAAGTCAACTAAGGGCCATCGATCGAAGGAGGAACAAGTGCAGTGTCCTGATACAATGACAAAGAATGGTCGTATTGGGAAACCATTAAACAGTATGGGGCAGCCCTCGGGATCCCATGGACAAACAACGGGTATGGCTAGCGGGAAAAATGTTAACATGGAGAATAGTGGCAGGAGGGCAACCAAGCAACCCTCTGCACCTCAGCACAATTCTTAGTCGTAGCTTCCAACTTCATAGGGAAGCTTCCTTCCTTGTTACTTGCTCTAATTATATTTTTTATGTTAAACATTCTAGCTTGGAACTACCAGGGGGCAAAAGGTGACCTTTTTCTTATGTATTTATCTACTTTTGTCATGAATAACAGGCCGG